TGGGCACTCTGGTCCTTAAGTCCGCGGTGGATGGCAGGTCTGCAGTGGCAGTTTGATGTGCCAGTTGGGGTTACTATGTTTGCTTTGCTCCATTTTTCACTCCTTGCCCCATCCCTGTTTCATAGTCCAGAGATGGTGAAATGTTTTTCTTTTTGGTTTTGCAGCATTTTGGGATTAGAGATGCAGAGCAGGCATCAGACGGGCTCGGTTTGATTCCCTAGGTTAGGAAGTCAGGTTTTTGTAGCCCCTTGCTCTCCTTGTAAATGCTAAAACTCTAAAAACAGCAATATGGAAATAGTTAATATGAAGCAGAGTCTTTCAAGTCATCAACTAGCTTAACATGGCTGATTTATTTTTTAGGGAAAAAAAACAGTTTATTAATCACAGATGTGCATGTTTCTGGTGTTAAGAAAGCTGGGACTAGAATGAGAATTCCCATTTCCCTTCCAGTTTCAAAAAATTGCCTATTCGTTGGAGGTAACTTTATCTTCTAGTTTGAGGGGGTCAGAACCCATGCTGCCTGCCCTTTTTCTTTAGCTTCAAAAATATATTTACGGACTCTTAGTGAACTCTCTGACCTCACCACCAGAGCAACATATGTGGTTTTTACTTTGAGAGAAATGGCAGTTAAATGCCTTCTTTTCTTATTGTGGCTATGAATTACAAAGCAAAGCCCATCCATTAGGTTTTTTAAAATAATTTATTGAATTACAAAGCTGTCTCTACTTGAGCAAATAGTGATTTTATTAAATTTGATGGTTTCTTGTTGGATTGGTGTTGCTGTGTGTGATCGTTATATGCGTGTTGGATTTTTCTCTCCAAGATGGCCATCTGTTGCATTTATCTTTTTTTAAAAGGGAATCTGACACTCACTAGAAAGTTTACTGTACTTGAAACACAGTTGGGGTTAGCATACCCCAAATTTATTCCATCTGTTTTGGTTTTAAAAGTCCATGTTGTTCTTGGTTTAATTTTGAATACTCCTTTTTCCTCTTAGCATGTTTTAGTGACAAAATATTCTTGAGCAACCCTAGAAAAACAATTTTCTATGTAGTCATAAAGGAAACAAAGCCAATTTAGTGTAAACATTCCCAAGCATGGTAATCAATCAAACCAAGTCTGTATTCTTAATTGTATAGATAGAAGTAGTATATAGTGATGGGGCAGTGGGAAATAAGACACACCCATGTGGCTGTTCTCATAGTGAAGGTGAAAGGGCTTTCTGTGCTCTTGAAAATGCCTGTATTGGATATTGATACTCCCTAATGTTTGCATCTGGCAATACCTCTACTTAAACATATGAACTTCAGCACCTAGGTTTTTTCGTGACTGTGCTCTAGTATTGTAACTGGTCTCCTGAGGAAGCAGATGGGAGTAAGAATTGGAGAATCTGGACTCCTGTCAGCTGGCATGGGATGGGAAAATGGACAGTAAAGGGTCTCACTGGGAAAACACTGGTGTGGAATATTTGTAGTGAGTATTAACATTGAGCTATGAGTCTGTAGGGATGTCTTCTGCAAATTTAAGGAGTGGTGAAAATCGGGTCTGATCTCTGAAGAGACTAGTGGGTTGGTATTCCATTTGGGTTAACACTGGTGATGTTAAACCTCTCTTTCTTCTTTTTTTTAAAGTTTGTTTTGAATAAAATTTGATCTTTAAGCTTCAGTGTTTATGGCAATGCAGTATTTTTATTCATTTTAAGCTTTTCCTTCTCCCCCAGTGCTTTAATGCTTTAAAGAGCAAAGTGGAACAGTGCTATCATTTTGGTGTACTACTTACACTTTGTCTGCTCTTATGATTCCCTGAAGCCCTAATAATACTTCAATAAGTACTTCATAGTAAATCATGCAGAAGAGAAGATGAGAAGCAGTTACATGCTGCACGCCAAATGACAACTAATGCTGTGTGGGAGGATATGGCTAAAGTATGTGCTGCGAAACATGTCTGGCTAATATTGTTTTGTCTCTTAGATCCTCTCCAGTTGAATGGAGTGTACATATTTCTTCCTGCTCTCTTCCCTCTTTCTGTCCACAAACTCTTGGCCAACTTGGGTTAAGAGTAGGAGTGGTACAGCAAAAGTGCAGTCGGACAAATACTCGTCTCCCACAGTTTCAGGGGCTCTGCGTTGTGCTATTCAGTAGTTGATAAGTGTGGATTGTCAAAAGGATGGGTGAGAATTTGAGGAGGTGGAGCACAGGTTTTTATAAAAAGAAAAATGGATTTATTAACTGCAGGCATGTTACATGCTTAGGGATAGGCATGTTTATGTAAAAGTAAATCTTATGCAATCAGTTACTGCACCACCACACTGCCTTGTTCTTAGAAAGGAGTGATTGTAAAGGAAAGAAATGCACCAGCTACAAAAATACAAAACAGTACATAGTGAACTTCTGTGAAGGCTTAATTGCTTTTTTTTATATAAACAAGTGAATGTGCTCTGTTTTATTTGTATGGAAGGAACTTGTATGAACCATTGGGACAAAAAAAAACAAGTGAAAGAAAAACTTGGCTGAGCAATTGTAACATCTTCAAGCTTGGGAGTCTTGAAAATAAAGCATTTAGTTTGTGCTTTAAGAAACTTGATTTACAAGAACGCCAGCATTGCTTTCTCCTCTTCTGTGTTCCACTAGCAGAGTGGCAGAAGGTTATTTATTGATACACGATTAACAGCTGATGTTTGCTATAATTTCTGAAACAAGGTATCTGATAAAAATTAAAAGGTGCATGATACAATAAGGTAAAGTTGAGTTTGGTGAAAGAGAAGTCAAACTAACTTTTTACAGAGGTTTAATAGGAGATTGTTTGGATTCCTGTGGAGAGCTTGCAGATGGTTGGAAGTTTTGTTTGGAATTTTTTTAATAAGCAGACAGCTTTTTTTTTCTTTATTTAAAAAAAGTAAAAAGCTGTCATGATGTGGATGCTGATGGCTAGTGGGCTTGCTTTTCTTACATATGTGCTGAGGACCCTTAAGCAGTAATCCAGGGGCCTTGAGAGATACTCAGATTGCAAGTTGAAAACATTTGTTATAGGTAATTAATTTCTTCCTTATGTTTCCTGCTTCAACAAGAAAACAATTGGTAATTCTGTAGCACTGCTATCCCAAGATTTAGAGGCAAAGCCAACTAGTGGAACTCTGCATCTGCTTCTTGGTAGTACCCATCACTTAAAGCCTTGAAACCAGGTTAATGGCATAATAGCAAGTCTCCTTACCCATGTGCAGCAGAGCTGCAGCTGTGGCCAGAAGATAATTCTGTAGATGAATCCTGGTTCTGGGTGACTTGCTTTAAAGTGTTAGCAACTAGCTTGTTAGACTGAAGGTATGCTTTATAAAGTTTGTTTTTCTTCTGCTTTATGGAAACATGATGAAAGTGGTGGTTAATAGCAATTATTATGTATGTATTCACACAGTGTATGCTACAGGAGTTCTTAGCATCAGAGCTGATGTATCTTAATGGTCACGTGCCATTTAGATTTTATTAGAATAGAGAAAAAACTTGACAAAGAGCCTGATAGAACACAATTTTGGATTCCAAGGAAGGGATGCCCTTTTAGGAACAGCTTGAACAGTGAAGAAAAAGTAAAAAGTACTAACTTACTATATTCACATTTTATGTCTCTTTCCCCATGTCAGTTCAAAGCCATAATTTGCACTTAATACTCTATGGAAACAGAGCAGGCTCACATACTTGTGTGTAGACCCAAGGCATTTGGGTGTTTACAATGAAGTGTATTGCCACATCAGTGTGACCATATTATTCTACAGAATTCAAACTACCTCTGGTCAGACTGGCAATATCCTTTTTACAGAAAAGCTGCCAGAAGAGGTGACCTGAACATCTGTGTCAAGCCTCAAGAAGGAACACAAGCACTGCATTTAATTCCCAGCAGTAGAAACGTTCAACAAAACATTATTTATGTCATCCTTATATAAACTATCTATCTACAAAAGTGCACACACAGGGGGAAAAAAAACCAAACATATTTGACAACCTAGGAGAGTCTTGTTAATACCCTAGTGATAGATAATATTCATAGGAGTGGTGTTACACAAGAATGTGTCCAGAAAAAAAGTATGTTTTTAGGAAAAGAGAATTGGTGGGAGAAAAAGAATTGAGCTGCATGGGGAAAAAAGAAATGTAGTCTCACAATAGCTAACTGGTGGGTGTTTATCATAAGCATACGGTCCAATTCAAGTGACAGGAGCCTCGGTGGGAAAGTAGTATCAACCTCATGCACATATAACTATGGCTTGAGAAAAGTGTATCCTTTATTTGACTGCAGAACTTCAGGCATTGTCTAGCTGAGAAATACTGCTGATACTGAGATTTGAGCAAATGGACTCTTAAACTTGGATGTTCTGCGCCTTTTAAAAAAAAAACAAATGAAGCAGCCAAAACTTGGAGAAGATTTAAGCAAAAGACAAACATTTAGCTGTTTTCTGGATTCTTCTTTCACCTTTCCCAAGGGTAGGGGAAATAAATAATGAAAGTAACTGGAGCATTTATAATAAAATTTGGTGTTTGAAAAATAATTTACTTATCGAGGCAATTATTTTTACTCTTCATATCCATGCTCAAAGCAGTATACATTGAAAGATAAAACAAGCATATCCTTCCATAAAGTTAGATGACATATGGAAAGTATAATCCACTATCAAATAAGTATCAGCAGTGGTAAGTATGAATTATAATTGAGGCAGGAGCAACTTAATGAAGCTTGACTGTGGTAAGCATCTAAATGGTGCTTATGTGTGGGTGGCCATGCGCAGAATGAACACTGATAGTTGTGACGTCGTTAAAGGCCAGGTTACTTCAAAATAATATGGTCAATTCGTCCATAAAACCAATCTGATAGCCATTATTACATACGTCATTTGCCTTGTTTCTCACTTACCAGTGTTTCAGCTTCAAAATACTCCTCTCGTTCTTTTTTCAGACTCCCTTTCCGTCTCCAGCAATGATGCCAGTCCTCCTGCTTCAGTAACATCGCTTCAGCCCCACATGATCGGTGCACAGAGCTCCCCAGGCCCCAAGCGCCCTGGCAACACTTTGAGAAAATGGCTCACCAGTCCCGTGAGGCGTCTTAGCAGTGGAAAAGCAGACGGGCATGTCAAAAAACTAGCCCACAAGCATAAGAAGAGTAGAGAGGTTCGCAAAAGTGCCGATGCAGGCTCTCAGAAGGATTCTGATGATAGTGCAGCAACCCCACAGGATGAAACTGTTGAAGAGGTAAGTGTTCAGGGCAGCTTTCCGAGACTTGTTTCTATGTTTTTTCAAAGAACTAAATCTTGTCAGGTGAAGGTTGTCTCCTGAGTTGATTGTCCAGCAGTTAGGCAAAGTGGCGTGTGCCATGTGCTCGTTCTTGATGACTGGTGAACTCTGCATAAGTACTGTGCCAGGCACAGTTTGTGCACTTCTGCACAAAGCTCTGTGGAGAAGGACATCTAGTTGAAGAAGAGAAATGGGAGAGTCAAAAGTTGTTCTTTGGCTTTGCTCTCTTATACTACTCAGGAAAGCAGCTCTGTGAGTACAGGTGCTTCATGTTCTGGGAATAATCAGGTCATTTTGTATTTCCTTTCCTTTTCTTGTTGGTGGATCAGAGAAAGTATAGGGAGAGCTGCTTAACTGCTTAAAGCCGTATTTACATCTTGAGCAAGAGTTAGAGCACAGAAAAATTACTGGTCCTTCAGATGAAGAGGTACTTAACCATTGGCCAAATAACAAACATGGCAGTTTTCATCGGAGGGAAGGAAATTGTGAACTGTTTCAGATTTTGCCATCAAGGACATCTACTGAAGGTTTCCCTTCCTCCCACAAACATGTGCCCATCCTTCTAAGCCTGGAACTCGTGTATGAGCAAAGCCTGCTTCCAGTTAGGTGCAGACAGAGCCAAATTCTCTTCTGTTACAAACCTATGGTTCAGGCTGAAATGAATGGCATCTTACTGCTTTGAAGGGCACAGCCACTTGCATGCTATACAGTTATTCCCTTTTACTAGCCTTGCATCTGACTAGCGGTTTTGGTAGTTACTGTACAGAAAATTGGTCTCAGATGCCCAACTAATTATTTAGTACATGTTTTTATTTGCTCCTGACGTATTTTGCTGCAAGCTTGGAATATCAGTGAAGTTATACAGTAAATATAGGGAAAAAAAAGTCTGGAGACTTGGCAGCATTGGTGAACTGGGAGATGTGGTTTGGGAAGGAATATTGGCCTCTGTCCTTGAATGTCAGGCTGTAGAAAGAGACCCTCTGTGATGCAGTTGTAGGATTGTTTTGGAATTATCTGTTACTCTGCAGTTCTGTGAGGGAGGGAAAACCTAAGGCCCATGCCTTAAAGTCAGGAAAAAACAATAATCACCTATGCTGTCTTCCTTTAAAGGTAGTTAAATTATCCTGCGAGACCAGTTACATTAAACTTTGGCTAATTGAAATCATAGTTCCTTGTATAAATGGAAAGATTGCCTTTCAACACAACTGTAAAAATTATACAAGCAGACTGGTCTCACTACCTGGGGGGGGCAGAAAGGATAATTGACAAAATACTTCATGTTGTAATAGGGTTTTTTTATACCCTTTAGAAGTCTTGCTATGAGGGTTCATACTTCAGATACAAAGTTCTTGAGTTTCTAAGTTAGAGGAATGTGGCTCTTTACTGAACTGAACTTGGAAAGCAAGCATGGCTTTGGTAACACTTTCCTGTAGTAAATTTCAAGCTGAATGTCTTGTTCTCAGTATCTCAATCCATCTGCTTTTACCAAACACTGAAAACGTTATCTTTGGCATCTACTTTTTTCCCCTCTGTTAAGGGGCAGCACTGTGTCTGTAGGATCATCTTGACTTGTTGGGAGAGGGGTGAATCTGCAGAACAGACTTGTTTAAGGCATGTTTGTGTTGAACAAGCTTCATGCTGCTGAGGAGGTAACAGAGCTTGTATGTCTTGATTTCATTTTCAGAGAGGTCGGAATGAGGGGCTGAGCAGTGGCACTCTGTCCAAGTCATCCTCTTCAGGCATGCAGAGCTGTGGAGAGGAGGAAGGTGAAGAGGGAGCAGATGCTGTACCGCTTCCTCCTCCAATGGCAATTCAGCAACACAGTCTTCTCCAGCCAGACTCGCAGGATGACAAGGTAGGAGGAGGAAGCGGGGAAGGCTTCACATGTTGAGACAACCTCTGTTTGCTCAAGTCTTTCTTCTGTTTCCAAAATCTCTGTAATGCATGTAATACAGCTTTATGGTAGACAGAAGTAATCACTATGCCACTTCAGACAATGTTAAAAGGGTTTCCTGTGGGAAGAGTGTGAATTAAATGCATGTTTATTTTAAAAGCACAAGTGCAGAAATTTTTCTACTAGCACTTTAAATGTGGAAATGGGCCACTTTGTTTGCAGGCCTGTTTACGTCTGTTTAACAGATGACAGATTTAGTGATTAGAATTTAGTTGTTTTATAATCATATCTTTGGGTACTGAGGTTAAAATACTATGTGCAAGTAAAGCTTATCTGGAGAAATTAACAGTTGTACATAATGTTTTTAGATCATAGGCTGTTCATCAGGCCTTACTATTTTGGATAGTCTCAGTTCGGGGAAAAAAAATTCTGGGGACATGTCTTAGCAGAAAAAGCTGGTCACATCAACCCTGCAGTGTTTTTGTATAGCAGTATAGCTTTTTTTTTTCTTTCTTTTTCTTTCTTTTTTTTTTTTTTTTTGGTGCCTCTACAAGTGTAGTAAGAAGTTAATATCCAAATAAGGGTAATAATCGAGCTGGTTTTTACAAACAAAGGCATATTAAAATCAAGGGTAAAAATTTTGCAGCAGTAATGAAATTAGAAATGTAGTTAGTAACTGCATGAAGGAGATCTTAACTTGCATGTTACGTGTTTTTCTTAAACTTTGTGATGTTCATACATTGGGAGGATTTATGTCCCTTTTCAACCTGGATCAAATGTTTAGGGGACAACTATCAAGTGTGGAAATAGAAG